AGATGTTTATTGGTGATGGTGCTAAACTTGTACGTGACGCGTTTAACTTAGCAAAAGAAAAGGCACCTTCCATTATTTTCATAGATGAATTGGATGCTATAGGAACTAAACGTTTTGATAGTGAAAAAAGCGGTGATCGAGAAGTACAACGAACAATGTTGGAATTATTAAATCAGCTTGATGGATTCAGCAGTGATGAAAGAATTAAGGTGATTGCCGCTACGAATCGTATTGATATTTTGGATCCTGCACTCTTGCGATCAGGACGTCTTGATCGAAAGATAGAATTTCCGCTTCCAAATGAAGAGGCACGTGCACGTATTCTCCAGATTCATTCACGTAAAATGACCGTTGGTTCCGATGTCAATTACGAAGAATTAGCTCGTTGTTGTGATGAATTCAATGGTGCCCAATGTAAAGCTGTTTGCGTTGAGGCAGGTATGCTGGCATTGAGGAGAAATGCAACCGAGTTGAATCATGAAGATTTTATGGACGGTGAGTTGAATAAATTAATTATACATATTCAGATACATGCATGCATGCACACACAGCTGGTGATGTTCTATTATTCTGCCAGCCAATCGGTTCTTTATACAATACATAGTGTACACGAAAAAAATCCGACTTGCTATAAATGGAATTTCTATACACACTGCATATATATAAATATGTATATATAATATGTTCACTATATATTTTTTTTTTGGTAATTATAAATAGGGATTCAAGAAGTAATGGCAAAAAAGAAGACTTCTTTACAGTATTATGCTTAGATACAATGCTTACACTGAAAGAAATAAATAAACCTTCTTGTCTAATTTTATTAATAAAGGTGAATGCAAGGATTTCACCATAAATAAAACGTTAAAATAAAAATATTTATAAAATTCAAAATCTGTGTAACTTTAATAAGTCTTAATTATTGAATATCATTTACAAAAATGAAAGCTTAACAGAAGCAAGGTCTTGTCAGCCGATATAGTTACATTTATTATCTTTAGTGATTGGATGAATTTAACAGTAAAATTGCCTTTTTCGTATTGGGTCTTTAAGACAAGGAGGTCACAGGTCATTCCACAAACACCATCTAAATTTGTGTTATAGAAAAATTTTTTTTTATACTGTACGAAAAAAAACACAAAGCTTTTTTGTTTGTATTATATTAAAGTGTCGTTTTGTGACTAATCAAGTGCTTTATTTGTTTCCTCTTGGTACTGCTTTTTTTTTTTTATTTTAATACATCAGCTTATTCTGTAAGTTGAATAAAAACTTTTAGAAATATCATTCTTTTTTATAATTATTTTCCGGTTATGCCTCATCACAATCCCCTTGAGATGTCTGCACCACCAACGAGGGCGAATTTGAAAGCATGGTGGAAACAATTCGCTGCAAAAAATGCGAAAAGAGAGGGTGAAAGGAAGGGTAAAGGTAATTTCTGGAGCATGATAAACCACAGCTTGTTAAACACTTTGAAGTTTATTTCTAGTTGAAATTCAGAAAAAGTGGAGAAAGTTATAAGGGGTTTTTTTTTTTTTCTTTATTATATATTAAACAAAATTATAGGCTCTCGTGGAATTTTTGGCGTTGATCTCGCTGAAGGAATAGAGTATGCAAGAGTACCAATATGCATGGCAGGGCCAGACGGGAAACAATATATATACGGATATATACCAACAATAGTTGCAAAGTGCGGAATGTTTTTAAAAGAACAAGGTATTTATTTTCTCTCACGGTTTATTTTTTTTTTTATTGGATCAAATTTTCATTGGAGGCATATTGCTTCGCTAGGAATTAGGATTTGGAAAATTAAATCCTAAAAACCATGCCGGGGTAGATACTTTTGGTATTTCGAATTTTTTGTACTTTGTAACTATCCAGTCTGCACTCATTTGTATTCTTTGAGATGTTTTTTCTTTATATAGTGATCCAT